GAGTGCAACCGGATGATTTCAATGACTCCTGCAGGACAAGGATAAGTGGCCAGAACATTTGTTGCTGTAAAAGTGTTTGGTTTCTCAGATTGTTTCAATATTTGTCCCCTGTATACATTTGATGTAATAATTTTGTTACTTAGTTACTAACTCAATTGTTACAAACAAGAGTAACATACCACGTTCGCTCTAGGTTTTTGCACTCTAGGTTTTCCCACCAGCACCACAGGCTAAGTTTGTAATTGGGTGTATGTAGAGTTTTCTATGCTTCCAGTGCAGTTACTTTCTATGTCACAAGAATCTCCCAATTTGAGGCTTTTAATTAGGATGCTGTTACATTAGGGGGGGAAATCCTTCAGGAAACAAGCTATTGAAGGTGAGTGGATTTTTAGCAAATATTTCAAATGGAAATACCTATTTCAAATACTCCCACCCCCGCAGATCAACATTTTTGGAGAAGTGGTTTTTAAAAGTTTAGTAAGACTCCAGATGAACTACAACCAACCACAACTCAAATGGAGTAAAACTTTTGCCCTGCCTGGAAAGAGCACCTAAGTAAATTCTGGAGTAACTTTTTAAAAAATTCAGAAGGGGCACACTGCCCTCTGGTGGCCAGACAGCCAAATAGGCATACGTGGGATTGGTGTCCTCCACGTCTCCTCTTGGGCTGATCTCTTGGGCTTTTCTGACTCTAATAAATGAACAGTGGTTGAAACCCAGTAGTAAGTCAAAACTAGAATAAGCCCACAGAGTCAGAGTCATTGAATCAATTCTATTGATTCAATGTGGTTACTCCAATTGCGACTTCCTGGTGGATTTCAATCAATTTTAATCTTAATTCCCTGAAAAACAAAGTGTTTGTTTTTTAGTTTATTGCTTTATTTGGCTAAATGCAAGGTGCCAGATCCAATCCTACCTCCCCCCCCCATTCAGCAGGTCAAAAGACCAATGATGATTCATATTCCAGTAACATTTTGACCAGGATAAAATAAAGAGAAGGTGGAAAGAGTGAACTGAAGACCTTACACAGAAGATATAAAAGGATGACAGATTCCTTTCAAGAGGAATCCTTTGATGAAGAATCTGTAGTTATAGAAAATGAAGTGAAAGTTGCTCTGGAAGCACTGGGAAGAAATAAATTATCAGGGGTAGATAGAATGACAATAGAACTATTTCAAGCCACAGAGATGGAATCTGTCAAAAAAAAAATGCCAGAAAATCTGGAAAACAGAACAATGCTCCCTGCCACACACTGGAAATGTTCAATATATATTTCAATTTCCAAGATGTCAAGGAGTGCAGTAAACACAGTGCCATTGCTTTAATTTCCCATGCAAGCAAAGTGATGCTCAAGGTGCTGCAACAAAGGCGTTTATCTTATGAAGAGCAAGAAATGCTTCATGTTGAAGATGGATTGCAAGAAGTTTGCTGGTTACTAAAGCACACCAAAAAAATTTTCAGGAAAGAAAAATCAGTCTGTGCTTTATAGACCACCTACAGCAAAGCCTTTGACTGTGTGGATCACAAATAACTAAAGATTGTTGGAAAGAAATGGGTGTACCTCAGCACTTGAGGTCTGGATACATAGCTTGAATCGGGTACCAGAAGTTAGTGTTAGTACAGAATATAGAGACAGAATGGGTTTCATTGTTAGAGAAATCAGACAAGGATGCATTTTATTCCCCTTATCTGTTCAGTTCATATGACGAATATAAGACACAGAAAGCTGTACTAGATTCAGACAAATGAGGAAGGAAATTTGTGGAAGAAACATCAACAAGATATTCAGATGACACAATCTTTCTGGCAAAAAGTAGCAATGACTTGAAACAACTTCTAACAAAAAATGTTTCAAGCTATCGCTGATTTCTGCCTGCCCTTTACAATTCTAAATGTGTCTTCCATCATCTACTAGGGCTTTCTTTTCTTTTTACTACAGGAATTGCCTGTTTGTCTAATCTTGGGTTTTAATCTTGGGTTTTAATCTGGTTCACAGTCAATTGAGTTTAGCAATGCAAATCTGTTCCTTATGTGGAGTTTAAATTAATCAGGAATGTTGTTTTGGCACTTCAATTCTTTTAGTGCACTTTTTCAGCTTTACTCTAATGTTTATATTAGCATTTCATGATCAGTCTCATAATCATCTACTGGTTTTGCTTTCGATGAGAGAATTCAGCTTCTCCATCTCATGCTTCTAATTATGCAAGTGATTTGATTTCTATATTGAGTATCTGGTGTTGTCCACCTGTACAGCCATCTGTTTAGTTGCATTTGCAATGAACAGATTATTGGCTTCACACAACACTATGAATCATTCTCCTGCATCTTGTCTCAGTATTAGAGCAACTCCATTTCTTCCAGTTTGTCATTTCCACTTTGTTGTTCTTTGAAAATGTCCCATTCTCATTCACTTTAGTTCACTGTTTAGTTCACTGACACCAAGCACTGAGATGTTTATACATTCCACTTCTTGGTTTATGGTTTTCAGGTTACCATGATTCATAATTTTCTGGTTCCATGTTCCAATTGTGTTACGCAGCATCTGACATTCCTTTCACCTCTGCGCCCATCAGCCACTTCTTAAACCTTTTGGCTTTAAGAAGTTAGTTAAAACAGAATAGTTTAAAACTGCTTTTTATTAGTGCCTATAACTTGTAATATCCAGTGTCATTTAAAACTGTTTGTCAAAAGACAGATTTAGCTAGTTCAGTGGCTGTATCAATAGACTGATTTTTATTGTATCTGTAAATTCTACAACATTATTCTTTATTGTTTATATGCTCATGCTGTGAACCACCCAGAGAGTGCATCTTAGTCAGTCAGTCAGTCAGTCAGTCAGTCAGTCAGTCAGTCAGTCAGTCAGTCAAATAAATAAATAAATAAATAAATAAATAAATAAATAAATAAATAAATAAATAAAGAAAGAAAGAAAGAAAGAAAGAAAGAAAGAAAGAAAGAAAGAAAGAAAGAAAGAAAGAAAGAAAGAAAGAAAGAAAGAAAGAAAGATCTAGTTGAGTCATTAGTGGCAGAACTATATGTATGTATTCTGTGTTCTTCTCCAGTAACTGACAAGAGTGCTTTCTCATCATGGTGAAGGGGTCTGAGTTTGTCAGTAAAGCTGAAAACAATGCTGTCAGAAGGCCAGATTCCCTTATGAGCCTGGACTCCTAGCAGGGTCACCCAAGGTGGAATGGTCACAGCTGAGACAACGGACTAAGAGGCATTCATCCTCTTCAAGGCAGCAGCACTAGCTGAAGGTAACACTGGTGGAGGGGTTAATGGTGGTGACACGGAAGCTAATACGGCATAGAAGGCAATGGTAAACCTCATACCATGAAAGCCCTATGGTGAAACAGTCCAAAATGAAACCAAATTGACTACCAGTTGCTAAATAAACACTTGGGTAAATCCCAGTGATGCGGCAGGTCTCCCTGAGGTGGGACCAGCAGCTGGCTTTACACCCTTGTTTCTAAACCATATGTGATGCTTGGACTCTTCCCAAGTTCCTTTATACTGTGCTTCCTCCGATGAAGGCAATGGGAAAGAATTTTAGAATTGGGCAGAGCCTCCAGTATGGACGGTCCCCATCCGCTTTCCCCAATCTGGTGCTCTGCAGCTGCACTGGGCCACTCTTCCTCGACGCCCTCAGTGAATGAATTTCAACAAAACAAAAGTAAAGCAAAAAAAGAGAAGATGTTGTGGCATCTTCAAAACAAAATTTTGGTTAGGTTAGGCAAAAACTGAAGGGGAGGGAAATAAAAAAGAAAAAAACACCTTTTGGCACCTGGTGAACTGTTACATTTTAATGTGAGCTTTCGTTGTCTTTTTCCTTTTTTTATTATTTTATCCTTTGGTTCTTGCCTGATATGTTTGTACAGACTAACACCGCCACCTCTTCTAAAAACTACTGCTACACTGCACAGTAGTTTAACAGCCACGCTGCGATCCTCTGCATTGGCTCAGCATGCCCAAGAGAGGGCAGTAGTTCTGCGAAGGACGTGGGATCCCCAGCCGCTAAATGCAGAATGCCCCTACATCCTTGGTGTGTGCGAGAGACACTGGGGGTCCCGTTCCTAAGAAACATTTCTTACGATTTCTTCCTCTCTCTCTTTCACTCTCCTGTTGGCATTTTGGAAGGTTGCGGGGGACGCTGAACGGCATCTGGCACTGCTCTGCCCGTCCTCTCCAGAGGCTGTGAAATAACTAACCAACTACATACAGCATCCCGTTCGGACTCTGCCTTGTTCTCAACGAGGCACGATTTTATAGAGGGAGTGAGCTGAAACCAGAGGACCCGAGCTTTTGCCGCGTTTTTTTCCCCCCTTCTACGCGATCACTTCTCCAAACATCAGTAGGAGCCCAATACTTATAATAACAATGACGCGCCATCAAGTTGATTCGAACATATGGTGACCCATCTCAGGGTGCTCTAAGCGCGGAGTACTCAAACGTGGTTTATGATTCCTTCTTCTGGGGGCAACTGGGGCAGTGCTTTTTGCTCCAAACCTACACCAGCGGGTTCCCCCCCCCTCCGAGAGGCACCAGGCAGAATCGAGCTCCCAGCTCTTCTGCCAGATGCCAAACTCCGTATGTCCTTTGGTCTGTTCCGTAAGAGGAGGCGAATTGCGGAAGTGTCTTAAATAACTAATTAGTGACACGAAAATGCTGATGATTTGGGACTGGTTTAGCGGCCGCAGAAACAAGATTTTATTGGTTCCTATTTTAACCGGGACTCCCCGTTCCCCCGATTCTGGGCATAGGGGAAAAAATCATTAGCAAACCATCGAACCGGAAGGAGACTGAATCGTGCCTTGTGTAAAATGCCCCAAACTACAGAACAGGTGTGTATTGATTTATGGAAGTCCAATGCAAAACCGAGAGAATATCATTTTTAACCCGCACTTTGACAAGTTGCTGCATTAACGGAGAAACTTCCAGACACCGCACCAACTTGGGAGAATACACACATTTAATTATCTTTAATTGCAAAAAACCCCCCAACAATCCACTTGCCAATCAGACACAGGCTTCCACAGTGACTGGAACTCTTTCATGAGAAAGTGGGTGGCTCTGAAAAGAGCCTTTGGGTTCATTGGTGCCTCCGGCAGCGGGGACAGGCAGCTTACTTGGAGCTGGTGTACTTGGTGACGGCCTTGGTGCCCTCCGAGACGGCGTGCTTGGCCAGCTCGCCGGGCAGCAGGAGGCGCACGGCGGTCTGGATCTCCCGGGAGGTGATGGTGGAGCGCTTGTTGTAGTGAGCCAGGCGGGAGGCCTCCCCTGCAATGCGCTCGAAGATGTCGTTCACGAAGGAGTTCATGATGCTCATGGCCTTGGACGAGATGCCCGTGTCCGGGTGGACCTGCTTCAGCACCTTGTACACGTAGATGGAGTAGCTCTCCTTCCGGCTCTTGCGGCGCTTCTTGTCCCCCTTCTTCTGGGTCTTGGTCACCGCTTTCTTGGAGCCCTTCTTCGGCGCAGGAGCAGACTTGGCAGGCTCAGGCATTTTTGAAGGTAAAACCACTACAGTACTTCCCCCTTTATCGAAATGATAGGAAGCCAAGTATGAAAGGAGCTAACTCATCGCACCCCTCTATTTATAGTCTCCCTATGCAAATGAAGGGTTCCAAAGCGCCACGTTTCTATTGGTCAAGGCAACTCTTAGTACCGCTGCTCCTGCGCACTCACATGCAAATGAGAGTTCTGTAATCCTCAGGTTCCTATTGGATAGAAGCACCTAGTGGCGCTCTAGATTGGCCTCCCTTGGAACATGCCTTCTTATTGGTTCCGAAATGCTGTTACCTGATTTGGCCAATCAGCAATGGCGCTTCCTTACGCAAGGAGGGGATAAAAGGCGTCGTTTGCTCTCTCATTCTCTAAATTGCTATTTTATTTGTCCGGGTGTGCTTGAGCGGAGGAGCGTCCGTGTCGCCATGTCTGGTCGTGGCAAGCAGGGGGGCAAGGCGAGAGCGAAGGCGAAGTCTCGCTCTTCTCGAGCTGGCCTGCAGTTCCCTGTCGGCCGCGTTCATCGCTTGCTGCGGAAGGGCAACTATGCCGAGCGGGTGGGCGCTGGAGCCCCCGTTTACCTGGCGGCGGTGTTGGAATACCTTACAGCTGAAATCTTGGAGTTAGCTGGGAATGCGGCTCGGGATAATAAGAAAACGAGAATCATCCCTCGCCATTTACAGCTGGCCGTCCGTAACGATGAGGAGCTGAACAAGCTGCTAGGAGGAGTTACGATTGCCCAGGGTGGAGTCTTGCCTAACATCCAGGCTGTGCTCCTGCCTAAGAAGACGGAGAGCCACAAGCCCAAAGGCAAATAAATGGTTTGCTGCTTTAATAATAAAAAAGATATCCGCGTAACACAAAAGGCTCTTTTAAGAGCCACCCACCTTTTCAATAAAAAGAGCTGACGCTTAAATGAGAGTATATTGAACCTTACCAATTTATTGGGAGCCATTGTAATCTAGGTATGGCATAGGTAGAGTGATGCGCTAGGAGTGGAGAGGCAAAGGTTCGAATTCCCACTTCGTCACAAATTCACTGGGGGAGTGAAACTGATAAAACAGCTTCGTAAATATCTCGCCTTGAAACCTAATTACATTTCGGGTATTGCTCTAAACATTTACAGAGTAGTCTTACAGAAGCATGACTTGAATTCAAATCCCTGATCAGCCATAGAAACTTGGTGGAATGGCAGTGCCAAAGGATTTCTTGAATATTTACTGGTTCCCAGCCATGGGTAACCCAGGTATTCTTTGACTGCAATTCCCAAAAGCCTTCAGCTGTGCTTGTCAGGATTTTTGGGAGTTGCAGTCCAAAAACACTTCCGTTACCCAAAGGTAAGAACAATTGCTCTATCGCGGTGAAGCAGAATGGACTTAACAGCTAACAAAACCCCAAACCATAAACTTGATGATAGTTTCTTAACATGATACATTTTATACGTGGATACAGAAAGAAATAGGCCAGGCTTCTTTCCTGCCACTTTGTTACAAAGAAATATGCCACACTTTTGTAACTTTGTAAAGTTGCAAATTCAGCCCTTTGTTGAAAAGATAGGCGGCCCTGAAAAGGGCCTTTGGATAATGTTTACAGATGTTTCCAAATTGAATTTTAGCCACCAAATCCGTACAGGGTGCGCCCTTGGCGCTTCAAGGCGTACACCACGTCCATGGCGGTCACCGTCTTCCTTTTTGCGTGCTCGGTATAAGTCACGGCATCCCTGATGACATTCTCCAGGAAGACCTTCAGCACCCCACGGGTCTCCTCGTAGATCAAGCCCGAGATACGCTTGACACCTCCCCGACGAGCTAAGCGGCGAATAGCCGGCTTCGTAATGCCTTGGATGTTATCTCGCAGCACTTTCCGGTGGCGCTTAGCACCCCCTTTGCCGAGACCCTTCCCGCCTTTGCCACGACCAGACATCGCTACTAACCAAGCCGAGCCAAGTCAGTGCAACTAAAGGTACCCCTTCGCTTGTCTGTCCTTATAGTGTCTCGTGGCCGACCAGAACGAAAACTAGGCAAGTAACGCAAAATTCCTCGTAGGGGCGGGGCTAGTGTGCGCCTCACATCCTGTTACAAAGCGATAAGACGATCTTACCGCCCTTTCTCCAATAAGAAGCAGCGATATTTCAAAACAGCCAATGCCGAATCAGTTACTGTAATTTAGTTGTTAGAAGCGTTGGCGCCTTTCCCATTCCATGAATAAAGAATTCTTTTTCAATGAGCTTTATGGCAAGATTTCCTCTTTTCCCAGCGCCTGGATTATGCAGGGACTGAGCACGATCAAGCTGGCTTCGTTCTAAAATTGTAACGGAATTAAACACTTTGGGGGAAGTAATGAAACAGAAGCAACATTTCCTCTGTTAGTAAACCCTAAGGGATGTCAAAGTGGGAGAGAGATGCTTCAGTGGTTTCTTGGAATAGGACTGGGGAGGGACTGATTTTCTGCTCCTTCACATGCATCTGGAAATTAATTCGGGTGTGCATGTGGGTGAGAGAGGTGGGGGAAGGAAGGACAGAATATGTGTCAGATTATAAAGGCAGGTGAATCACAGCTGCCATATTTATCAACAACAACAATAATAATGTGCCATAAAGTAAATTCTGATTTATGGTGACCAGTTTCCAAGGGTTTCCAGGTGCAGAATACTCAGGAGTGGTTTACCATTCATTCCTTTCTTCTGAGTGCACTTCTCAGACTATGCAGCTTGCCCACGTCTACACAGGCTAGCTTTTTTTGGGATGCAGAGTGGGGAATTGAATTCCCAGTCTCTGACTCCTTAGCCAGGTACCAACTCACTGAGCAATTCAGCCAGCTGTCTCTAACCCTGAGATAATCCAAATAATAATTTTTTTTAAAAGTTCTCTTGTTCTGTGGGAAAATATACAACACAATTCTTAGGAAATATATTTTATTGGATATTTCTTCCACAAACTAAGATGATCCCCCACATGTAAACAGAAAATATATCTGAGCGGTGATTTCTTCCTAAATCTCTGCTATGGTCAAGGTAAATTGGATTGGCATTTGTGACAGCTTTCTCACCTGCAAGGGTAGGCAAAGCATAGCCTTCCAGCTGTTATTGGCCTGCAATTCCCATAAACCTTAGCCTACACAACTAATAGTGGGAGATGTATTTCAACAGTTTCCCAGACATCTTGTGTAAGAACATGACAGAGCTACTAGTCAACCTTTACAAACTGTTCCCTATCATGTTTCAGTGGGACTTGAAACCAGAGCCAAAAGCAAAGATCCTAATCAGAGATATAAACTGAATTATATCACTGGATTCAGCAAGAGATGAAGATCTGGTTTGAATGGTCTCATTTCTGGGGGTGGATGGGAAATACTGCCCTACACTTAACTCTCCCCAAATCCCTTCATAACTGCACAATTATATCAGGTGATCTTGTGGGGAGATAGCATTTTTGTCACAATTATTGGGAAGCAGAATTATTATTATTATTTTGCCAGTGAGTGCAAATTTACTATAGACCTATCCGTTGATTCTGATCTATCTTTTGTTCTCCATATGCTGAAAATTACTGTATAACATGGATGCATTAAACAGTACTCGCAGTTCCTTTATACATCCTTAATTGACCCCAAGCCCCATTTGGAATTGATAGTTTTAAACGGAAACATACAGCCTGTCTGTGAAAACATGAGAAAAACAAAAGTGAGATCAAACCAGAACAAGCACTAACAACTGACAAAAGCTGGATCTACATGCAACAACTGACTCACTCAAATTGTTCTGATCAAATAATTTTATCAGGTAATAGCTACTGGTTCTTTAAGTCAATTTCTTACATTGGAAGTGCAGGCTCATCTGACAATACCTGAAACCCAGTCAGAAGTAAAACAAGCCAGGAAGAAAATATTGTACAGTATTAGGAAGGTACAAGCACAAGTTCACACATCACTGTGTTCAGTCCAAAATAAGCATCAGTGGAAATCACTTAGGATGGTTAAGCGTACACTGATCATTTGTTTTCCTTGTCATGAACCAGAACACAGGACTGCTGCATGATGTGAAAAACCAGCACCAACTTTAACTTGTTGCTTTTCTCTCTCCCAAAAATTGCACCATTGGAGAATCTCGGCTATTACACTAATAAACAAAACCTGGGCTGAGCTCTGATACGAAGAACCGATTATGTGCAGCCCCTAAGTGTATGTGTAAGCTCAGTAACAAAAATTATGCAGCATCACTATGGGAGGAGAATTTGTGCATCAGAAAGGTCAAGCGCAGCCTTTTCATTACTGTTTTCTTTATGCCAGGTGTGTGCTGAAACCATAGTAGAAACCATAGCCATCCCTTCCCATGGTAGAGTCTGCACGAAGCTGCCTTTATGACTAATCCAGTTAATCAAGGTCTCACCTGGTGATCGTGCACGCGTGCACACACATGCATAGTAGAAACCATAGCCTTCCCTTCCCATGGTAGAGTCTGCATGAAGCTGCCTTTATGACTACTCCAGTTAATCAAGGTCTCACCTGGTGATCTTTCCTCAATGTTCAACCCTTTTCACTAAAATGTTCGAAGACCCCAGCTGATACAGAACACTGTGAGCAGACCACTGACCCACAGTTTCCAAGGACAACAGATTCACCGGTGTGGTTTCAAGTGCCACTCAAAGTGCTGGCTACAATTTACAAAGGTGGGTCCAGCTTGCACTCTTCCATCAGCGCTTGCTCAGGTCTTAGGATCTTAGGGGAAGGCCATTTTCTCAGTCCTGCCACAATCAGAAGCATAGGCAACATACATTCCAGAGAGCTTTTTTTTTGGGGGGGGGTGTTGAATCCCTGGGTTGTGCTTCTCCCTCCCTGCCCAGTGTCCCTTGACCCTCCTTGTTGCCTTTCTGCAGGCAGGGAAAAACCCTTTTCATTCAGGGAAGGCTTTCGCAGCTCGGATAGCCGGTGAAAGAAAGGCTTTGAACCAGGGAATCTGGCTTCTCGCTGAAGCGGGAAACTCCCTGGGGTTCAAGACTCGGATCTCCCCCAGCCTGGCGTACAGACTGACACAAACATGACCAGATAAACAAATGAATTGCGGGGGAAGCACAACAGATTTCGTGTACAGTACAGGATAAGCTGCATTAAAAACGCGGTGCCCCTCAAATCTTAAACCATCACCCAAACCAAATCAAACCCCGTCCCCCGCGCCCTTCCGCGCCGTTTGAGCAAAATTCCCACTTTCTCAGTGGCTAAAGGGCCGCGGGCGATTATGACCGACGGAGCGCCTACATGCAAATGACAGACCTGGGGAAATGCCAGCTCCGATTGGATGAAGCCGATGTCGTTTCTTCCAGTTGGACAGGCGGAGAAATCTATTTTTCTATTGGTTGCGTCGATCCGTCGCCTCAGCCAGCCAGCCAATCAGAAGTGTCTCTTTAAAGCACGTAGCGCGATATAAAAGGCCCTTCCCCCCCCTCCCCTCGTATACCGCCTGCCTGTGTTCTTCGGGGCGGGGTGTATGTGTCGTGCTTTGGGGTTCTCGAGGCTCAGCGGTCTATTGGGTTGCGGGAAGCAGGGGCGGCAAAGCGGGGGCCAAGGCAAAGGCTGCCTCGTCCAGAGCGGGCCATCAGTTCCCGGTGGGCCGCGTCCACCGCCTCCCCCGCAAAGGGAACTACGCCGAGCAGGGAGGCGCCGGCGCCCCCGTCTACCTGGTGGCCGTGCTGGGGTACCTGACTCGCATCATCTCCCCCCCACACACACACACACGTGCAGCTGGCCATCCGCTTCGACGGGGAGCTCAACAAGCTGCTCCGGCAAAGTCACCATCCCTCAAGGCGGGGTCGTGCCCAACATCCAGGCCTCCCCCTTTTGGCCAAGAAGGCCGGCGACAGCCACGAAGCCAAAGGCAAGTGAGGCAGCAGCTCCTGCCTGCTTCCAGCCTGGGCGACCTTGTCTTCGCCGGATCAAATCCAACGCCTTTTTCCCCCCAGAGCCACCCGCAACTTTAAGCAAAGATCGGGGCGATCTGCTGATGGTTGGCTTCCCCTTGCGGGCGTTGGGCCCGCCTGCAGTTCTGTGCTGAATGTGCCGGTTCGAATTGCACGCGACTCTTCGGCTGGGGTTGCTTTCGTGGGTGGGTGTTTTGTATGACCGCCTCGTTCTTCGTTCATCGAACGTTCCGGGGCTCCACTGAAGATCCATGCTTTTCAATAGGCTGACATTTCATGTGTTTTTTAAACCGGGTGGAGGGGGCGGAGTTGATGGGACTTGTAGTCCGAAATACCAAAAGTGCCCCCTCCTTTCTCCAAGCCAAAAATGAAACCACGTGTGGAAAAAAATGGGTGACAACTCCCACTGCGTCCCTCGGTGAATTACTCAGATTTCTTGAATATTCTCTTCCCATTTTAAAAAAAGGGCATAAATGATTTCCGGAAAGGTAGATTTAGAGGACACCCACTCCACTGACAGCCGTTGAGGTGTGGGATTTTCCTTTCCCAAGTGAACGGGAAAGTGGGTTGCAGCTCAAAGTTACCCATCCCCATTTCCAACTTTTTTAAAACTATTTTTTTAAAAAAAATTCTGGGGGCTTTGGTTTGGCGGCACTCTTTGGACAGCTATTTTAAGGACTCTTAAATTAAGCCAGTCACGAAGTTGTTTACATGGGGAATTCCTGTACAGTACTGTATCCGAGTCAACCCTAAAGGCAGGAATTTCAACACACCCCTTTAAATGTAAGAGCTTCAAAGGAGGATTTGGGCATTCCGTCCCAACAGCTTAAGAGAGAAGAATCGTTCCTTAGTCTTAGGGAAGGGAGGAGCTGCTTGGTGTTTCTTTAGAAAGACTTTTGAAATAAATTAGAAGAGGAGCACAAATAATTCAACAATGAAATGGTTTTTAATTTGTCTTGTATGGTTTGCTCTTGCTACAGTTACTATTTGAACAAACAACTGGTGGAACACTTCTGGGAATTGCAGGCCAAAAAAGTAACTTTTAGAAGCTCTTCTTGCTTCTCCCATCATTCTATGCTTTTGTCCCTTCAGAGTTTTGACTATGAAAATAAGCGCCTGGAAAGTGTGTGAGAAAGACAGAATGCCTATCAGGCAAAATCCAAAGAAACTAAACAGAACAAAATTTAAAAAAAGACAAAAACGAGGGGCACCTTAAAGACTAACTATTGTATTTTAATGCAAGATTTTGTGGACATGCCCAATTCATCAGATATATGGAAACAGAATAAAATGTTGAATGAAACATCAGTTTCATACTAAATATTCATATGGTAAATTTATATGCAGTAATTTGGCTCATGTTGTTGTAGGGTACTGTTGTAAACAATTCCACAGGAGACAGAAAACTGACACCAAGTTTAGGCAAAGATGGAGAAAGAGACAGAGAGAGAGAGTAAGATGGCATTCACTTAAAATTCAAGACGGGGAAAGATTAAATATAAAGGTGAAAGAAGATGGCAGAGGAATCCCATGTGTTAATGTAGGGAATGTTGACAGTTTTTACTTTCGAGCCTTGTGATGAGAGACGGCTTGGTAGTTGTGAAGAAAATATCAGTGGCAGTAAATGCATTCAACATTTCATTCTGTTTCCGTATATCTGCATAACAGGCAAAATCCAAATTAACGTGGCTACTGCTTCCAAAACTACAGAATGCCCAGTTATAGAAAAAGCCTGTTGAAGGATGATTAAAGAATGGATCCTGTCAGTTCAGATGGCTTCTGACCTATTAATGTCGTGACACATATTCTGCTATTCATCCAAGGAGCTCAGGACAGTCAACAGGGACCTCCTGACACGGCCCAAATCTTTATAGGTGTCTGTGTAACAAATTAAACTCTGATCTGTTTGTTTTTATGTGCTTCTTATTGAGAAGATCTGACAGAAGTGGACTGAGAGGAAAGGTTGGCCGCAGCTTCCATTAGTCTGATGCAGGCAGAAGTGCCAACAGCAAGGAAACCAGGGAATTGTGGTCCAACAAAATGCAGAGTCTGTTTTGTCTAGCCTTATTTGTGGACTGCATTTCCCAGCATTCCTTCCCCCCCCCCCAACGATGTTGGCTGGTTTGCCCAGCTCTGATATACAGGAGTGGATATCTTGGACAAGTCAGGGTAGGGTGGAAATTCTCCACATCTCCCACTGGCTCTACTTACCTCATAGGGATGACACAGTTCCTCTGAGAAATAATCCAGAAAATAATCCAGTTTGAGAAATAATCTGTAACAAATTTTAGCCTTCAGAGTGGCTGAACACAAGTCATTCAAATGAGCCACTCAGGACTGTCTGTTACATGTATATCCATTATGTCACAATGGATATATGTGTAACAGACAGTCCTGAGTCACTCATTTGAATGCCGTGTGTTCAGCTGCCAATGGTCATAGGGTGAACAAGGGGTCCTACCTACACAGATGTTGCTGTGTGTCCCCAAAGCATTAGGGAGCCTGATCAGGCTTCAGGGGACAGTGAGTGTCTCATGCTCTGTCACCAACAAAGGATGAACTCTCCGATCCCTGAGTGTTTTATAGCTGTATGGCAGGGTAGTGATGAGGGGTAGTGACCTGGGCTCTGATGTATAACCTGTTATCTGTCAAGTGCTCATCTTACTTGTCTCCATAACTGCCCACGAACACCAAGGGAGGGAAAGGTCCAAAAATCTGTTGATTTTCCTCTCTGTGCATATACCCTGTGTGGAAGGAACAGCACTAAATGGCATAGTATTCAATTTATGAAGTCCAGTTGATGGGCATAGTCCGGGGCAGCACTGGCAAAAGGGAGTGTCCTCCTCTAAGACTCAAGCAGAGGGTGGGCTTAAGAGCTGCCTGGGCAGACTACAAGAACAGGGGACCTGGGCAACTCCCATCCCAACCCTTGATGATTTACTACTTGCATTGTCCACCTATCCCACTGGGCAGGTTGGCTGTAGCTGGAGACCAACAATATTGGTAGGGCCACAGAGGCACCTACCTCTTGTTTGCTGTGTCCTGAGGACTCCTCTGATGGTTCCAGACAGCAAAGTATGTAGACAACCAAAACTTGCTTCAAACGTGGCTGTGGAATCTGGGGAGAACCTGAGCACAAAAGACCAAGCCACTGAAGCCTTTGGCTACTGTACTATTCAGGAACAGCTCTTAAAAGCAAGAAGTCTTTGGAAAGGGATTAGACTGACTCCTGAGCAGTTGTATACCATTTCCTTATGACTTAAGTGCACTCCTTATATAGAGCGCTGTATGTATATTATGCCCTAACCAAGTTAGAATCGACTTATAGCAACCCCAATATAGTTTCACAGTAAGTGAGGTTTTATTAGATCCACTCCCCACCTCCATGAGGTTCTATGGCTGAGTGGGGATTCGAACCTTTGTCTCCCGAGTCCTAGTCCATCTGTCTATCTACTGCAGTACAGAGATAGTATATCTCAAATTATCAGATGTGTGCTAAAGTCTGAGCTTATATCAGGTTCCGACTGGCCGAAACATTCTGATGCCCGAGGGAGAGGCAAACAATCAATCTGCATAATACTCAGAACCTTTCCCATGACAGAAAATGTGGAAGATAAATGTTTATCCAACAGGTAAAGAAAGATTACAGCCAAAATGGACTCCAGGTTTTCTGATAGGCGGTTGGTGACTTTTCTGGAAGTCTCTGTTCCCAGTTGTAAATCAGGGTTTTGTGTTTTGAGGCAAAGCAATGAGACAGTTGCTGAGAGACAAACAGATCTTTGTCATGGAACTAGAGAAAAACAATTAAATCTACATAGCCTGAGGTGAAAGCAGATTCATCAAAAGGATTCCAAAGGCTGCAGCATTCATTTTAGAAGCTAACTTTAAGTGAAAGAGCCTAGGCTTTAGCAGCTGGTAAAGATTATTTTGGGATGTGTTTTTTTTTTAAAGTTAGTTTTCCTTTCTCCCCCACCTCCTAGCAGTGTTTGGCTTTGAGATTTTCATGCTTAATAGTTGTCATCTGCCTTCATTTTTGGATTTTGTATGAGAATTGCACTTCCTTCTCTCTCTCTCTCATTTTCTCTTTAAACCTAGTGTTTTGGATCTTGTTGACAATCACAAGGTACCTACAATGATTATATTTGTGGGAGATGAGAAGTGTCTATGAACTCTCCAAAAATCAATCATGGTAGTAGATGGAGTAATGGTCTAGCATTCAGGAGATCAGAGTTCAAATCCGAACACAGCCATAGGCACCCCCAAAGGCAGATGTGGATGGAACTGGTAGAAACACTCCTTAAAAGATCTCACTTTCATTGAAATCCATTAGGGTTATTGCAAGTCAGTTTGGATTTCATGACTACAAAACACAGGCACTTTGATGGAAAGAGAAATTATTGGAAGCTTACACGTGTCTCTCCAGAAATTGAGTTGTCCTACATACATCCATATATTTAAACTTGCACGCCTGAAGAGTTTAATCAGAAATAGTTTCTGAATGGCTTCAAAATTATTTTTTAAAGTATCATGACTCTTGAAATAATTTGTAAGAACCACTGCACATTCAGTGTATCTGTGGCCACTTATATTCTTCCACACTCCCGGTAACTTAGTGCATCCAGGCATGGCCAGAAAACACATTAATAAATTGCTTTCTATCATTTATGTATGTGTTAATTTGCTTTAAACTGGCCCTTGCAACCTTCCACTGAAATCTTTCTATGCAGGGTAGCATATAAATGCACAGAATGCAGACTAAATTGCTGATCAAAATTGGAACGCCTCATGGAGCTTTCTATGCAGGGTAGCATATACTCTAAATACACAGAATGCAGACTAAGTTGCTGATCAAAATTGGAACGCCTCATGGATATTTTTGCTTGGCTCGTAAATTTTGAAGACCTGTTGAATCTCAGGTTACATCCTCTCGTCCTGCTTAAAGCGGAACCCCTCCGGCGCCGGCCCCAAAGTAACTGCAGCTCTCTTTCTGAAGGACGTGGGTGGCCCTTAAAAGAGCCTTTGGGTTATTTTTCTCGCTTCCTGGCGGGCGGGAGGAAAGGGCAACTCAAGCCCTCTCTCCGCGGATACGGCGCGCCAGCTGGATATCCTTCGGCATAATGGTGACCCGCTTGGCGTGGATGGCGCACAGGTTGGTGTCTTCGAACAGGCCCACCAGGTAAGCCTCGCTGGCTTCCTGCAAGGCCATGACAGCCGAGCTCTGGAAGCGAAGATCGGTTTTGAAGTCCTGGGCGATCTCCCTCACCAGGCGCTGGAAGGGAAGTTTCCGGATGAGGAGCTCCGTGGATTTCTGATAGCGGCGGATCTCCCGCAAGGCGACGGTCCCTGGGCGGTAGCGGTGGGGCTTCTTCACGCCACCGGTGGCTGGGGCGCTTTTCCGGGCAGCCTTCGTAGCCAGCTGCTTACGAGGAGCTTTTCCTCCAGTAGACTTACGCGCCGTCTGCTTTGTACGGGCCATGCTTCTTCCACACGCTTCTCTCCACAGGCGACCAACCTCCCCGAAACACAAGGCGAATTGTAGCTAAGGTTACTTGCGAGCAGAGAATTTATTGTGAAATCCTCCGCTCCTGATTGGTCGAGGACGCTAACGTCCCCGATTCAGACTTTGAAACTCCCGCTCTCGGAAAGGATTGGACACAATTGTTTCTCTTGCCTTTGTCTTTGCCCCGCCCACACACTCTCTTTGTACTGAGAGAATCTAACCCCTCTGAGATCCGTTTTTAAGTCGTGGCGGAAATCCAATCCCTGTCTCATTTTACCACCTAACTCACAGGGCTGGGCTGGTGTAAAAATAAAATATTAAGCCTCCCCTGTTCCCTTTGCTAGATGCTTCGGTGTGAACAATGTTTACAAGAAGATGCCTTCATGATTTGAGTCTTTAAAAGGAAGTAATTAAGGGATGCGATGCGAAGCCCTTTTAAAAGCTTCACTGCGATCGAGAGTGAAATCCTGTCTTATTGCCGAGCCCTCAAGATGGCTAAAACTATATGAATCTGGTTACCTGGAGCTTAAAAATAATTCATTGTTTGCTTAGACGGAATGATCTCATACGCATTTTTTTAATACGAAGTTAATTGCTGGTCAAAAGCAGGCTCATCATTAATTGCCAACGGAAATTAGTCCCAAGTGAGCTACGCTAGCCTAAGATTTTGCAGATGTGGCGGTCTAATATCTCACTAGTTCCGGCAGAAACTTTTCATGGCATGAATCAAAGATGATTATATTTTCGATGTCATAGCCTCAAAGTAGTTATGCTCACTGAGTGAAAAGCAAGGAGCAAAGCCAATGGAGCAAAATAAGTAAAGCCTCCGAAGTTTCGCTCGGCATGGGCTGACCCCCTCCCCTCCCTTCCCCTCCCCTGCGCTTCTTCAGACGGAAGCGGCTAATAGAAGTGGGCGGTACTCCATGAAAGCTTGTGTGCCAAAGAAAACGCGTTTAGCTACGTTTATTTGAGGATCCGATGGAAACCCGGACTTGAACAGAAGCCTTGTTTAAACTGAACGGGAAAAGAGGGACTTGTACTGTAGTAGTTTTGCCGCTGGAAAAACCCGCCTTACGACATGATTGGCTATGAATCCCACTCCCCACCCCATCTGTTACAGGGCCCGTAACAACAGTTTAGATCACCCCGTGTTTATTACTTCCGCCCGCTAGTTTCTTTGTTACACAGCTCTCTTCGTCAGTCGTTATGACACTGACGTTTGGCAACAAGCGAGCCATTTTGCTGATTCCGTTCCATCCGCCGCAGCATTTCTTCACCCGTGACCACATTTTTCAGTGTTAAAAAGCGGCATACCCAAAGTGAGAAGCTGGCTATTTAGGATTTCCTAGACAATCGCTTCTCTGAGCACATGATCCCCTTTAAGAGTTCGGTTAAAATTGCCCAGCGAACTTTTTGGATTAAGGAAAATATTTCGGAAAAATATGGAGTCGACTGGAAATGGCGTAGCTTATTCCCCTAAATACTAAATCGCTTTAAATAGGAATGCAAACTCAGCTCTTTCAAAGTGAAAACATGGGTGGCTCTGAAAAGAGCCTTTTGAGATTCAATAGACAGCGAGGACTGTTTTCTTTATTTGCCTTTAGCTTTGTGGCTCTCGGTCTTCTTGGGCAAAAGGACGGCCTGGATGTTGGGCAAGACCCCGCCTTGAGCGATGGTGACTTTGCCCAGCAGCTTGTTGAGCTCCTCGTCGTTACGGATGGCCAGTTGCAAGTGGCGGGGGATGATGCGAGTCTTCTTGTTGTCCCGCGCCGCGTTGCCGGCCAGCTCGAGGATCTCGGCCGTCAGGTACTCCAACACGGCTGCCAGGTAGACAGGCGCGCCGGCGCCCACCCGCTCGGCGTAGTTCCCCTTGCGGAGCAGGCGGTGGACACGGCCCACCGGGAATTGAAGGCCCGCTCGGGACGAGCGAGACTTTGCCTTGGCCCTCGCTTTGCCGCCTTGCTTCCCGCGACCCGACATTATTCCACCAGACAAACGTGCTACCACCAAAAAAAGCAAACAATCAGCAATGAGTGCTAATGGGTGGAAGCGGGGAACCTTTTATGCCTTCCGAATGCTTGACCTTACTATTTTTTGATTGGTCAACGAAATGACAGGAGGCTACAACCAATGAGGACTAAGATTTCACAAACTGACCAATCACAAAAGAGGCATCTGTTTGCCTCCAATCGGAACCGAAACAACCACAGGCCGGTGATTTGCATCTGCGCGCGCAAAGGAGATTAAAGCAGGAATCCCATCCGCCAATAGAAAAGTTGCGCTCTACCTACCTTTATTTGCATATGGATTCCTTAAATAGGGGAAACGGGAGCGTTGGCCTCATTCTTTCCTCGTTCTCGGAGAAAGAGTTCTCTTTGTGCTCCCTCTATTGTTTAGCAAAGAACGGGTTTCTAGAATGCCTGAGCCTGCCAAGTCTGCTCCTGCGCCGAAGAAGGGCTCCAAGAAAGCGGTGACCAAGACCCAGAAGAAGGGGGACAAGAAGCGCCGCAAGAGCCGGAAGGAGAGCTACTCCATCTACGTGTACAAGGTGCTGAAGCAGGTCCACCCGGACACGGGCATCTCGTCCAAGGCCATGAGCATCATGAACTCCTTCGTGAACGACATCTTCGAGCGCATTGCAGGGGAGGCCTCCCGCCTGGCTCACTACAACAAGCGCTCCACCATCACCTCCCGGGAGATCCAGACCGCCGTGCGCCTCCTGCTGCCCGGCGAGCTGGCCAAGCACGCCGTCTCGGAGGGCACCAAGGCCGTCACCAAGTACACCAGCTCCAAGTAAAGAGACCCGAGCTGCCAACAAATCTGAAAGGCTCTTTTCAGAGCCACCCACTTTCTCATGAAAGAGCTTTAATCAGTCTTACTACCTGAACGCACAAGCCCTGTTCAGTGGCTGCCTGTTTCAGTGGTTTATTTTCCCTTGCCTTGGTAGCTTCAACTAAGACCGCTTATTCACAATGTTGACTTGGGCAAATGAGACATCCATGTTCTCCTTTTAGCAGGTTATGTTTTGGTGTTCTTCCTACTGGTCGCAATAATTGCAAGAGCAGAATAGGTCAAATTCCCTTTTGATATACTGCTGCACACTGTTCTTAATGTTCAGCTGTAACCTTGTTTTACTTGTAACAGTTTTTCCTTTTGCTTCTTGTCCGTTCATCCCTCAAGGCTTTTCTTTTGACTACAAGAATAGACTCTAACCCCATTCGTCCCTGATCATATCTAGTTCCATTCCATAGTTCTTTTGACTCACTGTCAATTGAGTTCTGTGCTTTGCTACTTACAAGTTGTCTAATTAAAAAAATGTCTCGAATGTGGATGTAAAATGTTATTTTCACTTGCTACTAATATGTCACTAAATCACACAGGAGTAGAGCCTGAAATGAAAAACAGGAATGGAATTGAACGACCACATTCTGGAGCCGGAATTCCTGAATTAAGCTAATTCTCTTTATTGGCAATTTACTATCCAACCAGTAAGCATTGGAATTGAGCAGTATCTTGAATCTCCCTCTGTTTTTTGTTTTAAACACCCTTTATAACTATAAAACCTGATGAAAATTGCACGGATTATTTTCCATCAAAACCACATTTGCTTGGGTTTTAAGGAAATTCCTTTTCTAGTGATCAAAATGTAAAGAGAGCAAGCATTACTTGAGGAAGACCCATACAGTAGTACTATTTCTAACTGCAAAAGCAACCCCAGTAAGATTAAGATGGCTCAATTATATATTTAATGGGCAAAACAACCTACTTTATATGCCTAAATTTAAAACACCAGATATGGAGACCGTCAGAGCAGGCTTATTCCCAAACCTCATTTATGGCCTTTGAAAGAACCGATTTCCTATTTTTAAGTCATCTGTAAGTCCTAAATACTGTAAAAGCGGAAAATAGATTTCATTGCAGGAGGGTTGCACAAGAGAGAGACTAGTTATTTTCTCTTGTAACAAAGGCATGTTGCGCTTTCTTGTTACAAAGTTCAAAGGGGTGGGGAAAATCAGAAATAGGCCGTGTGGTGCCGTAAACTTTGCAACAAACTTATCTACCAAGTTGCAGCGTTTCACTTGAGAAAGAATGAAAAGAAAACGAAAAGGATTTCCGGTGGCCGATTGTATATCCGTTTATGCATAGAAATATTATTAGAGCTTTGGAGCGATCAATCTGTTTCAGCGAGATTTACGTGCACGCCACTGTTTCTTAAACGAGAATGTCACTACACCGGAAGCCTTAGAATGTGCAGTAAATTTAAATTTCATGACGTAACAGTTGGACAGAATGTTTCTTTTCAGCGCAGACTCGGGGATAATGAAAAGGCGCTAGTTTTAGATTTAAAAATGATTTTTGATTGGCTATTTGGAAAGGCCCTCGTTTCTGATTGGAGTACTCAATATCGTATGGGGAACAGGCAAACCGGGTAGTAGTTTGTGACGCCTGAAAGTGAAGTTTTCAGTCTGGTCGGCTCTCTCGCTATATAAGTCTCCTGATTCGGTCGCTGCAGCACATTTTCTTCAGTTCTTTGTTGGGAGTCTAGGTGGAGATGTCTGGTCGTGGCAAAGGCGGGAAGGGTCTCGGCAAAGGGGGTGCTAAGCGCCACCGGAAAGTGCTGCGAGATAACATCCAAGGCATTACGAAGCCGGCTATTCGCCGCTTAGCTCGTCGGGGAGGTGTCAAGCGTATCTCGGGCTTGATCTACGAGGAGACCCGTGGGGTGCTGAAGGTCTTCCTGGAGAATGTCATCAGGGATGCCGTGACTTATACCGAGCACGCAAAAAGGAAGACGGTGACCGCCATGGACGTGGTGTACGCCTTGAAGCGCCAAGGGCGCACCCTGTACGGATTTGGGGGCTAAGCTTCGAATCTAACAATACAACAAACCCAAAGGCCCTTTTAAGGGCCACCCACTCGTTCACAAAAAAAGCTGAGTTTTCCGACTACCTATTCAATGTACCTCTTTTATTAACAAAATAGTTTCCCGTTGGGGAGTAGGTCCTCCTTTCACCTAGACAAGCTGTGTGCAGTATAGAACTTTATGCAAGATAAGGCTCTAGCTCTGCGTTTAGATGGGATTAAACTCGTCGGTTTCAGCAAGATTTGCAGAGTTAAACAGTGGCTGATTGGAAAGGACGCTTGTTTGATCGTAAGCGAAGGGCACAGGCGGCTTCGGATCAGAGCAGTCAGGGCGCCCCCTGCTATTTTTTTCCTAGTTAAAACATGGGTGATTCTAATTAGCGAAAAAGGTAGGAGGGAAGTGCCTGACAACAATCCGATCTGTAGTTCTGTTATGTCCTAACAGCGTTTGTATCGAGTCTGTTCTGCGCCTCTGTTAGCTTGTGTTGGCTTCAGCCAATGAGAAACGCAGTTTTCTTAGCGTCACGCTGTTTCTTAGGGAGGCGAAGTATGCTGGGATCGGTAGTTTTGAGGCGGTCTGTCGGTGGAAACATGGGCCTTCGCGCCCAGAGCAGAGGGAGGTTTTTGCAGTGATCCTGAATTCCAGGTCAGAATCGTACCTTGCCCTTTACTATAAAAGGGGGCTATAGCGGATATGATTTCTTTCTTCCAAAGACTGGGAGATTTCCATGGCTTGTTTTGTTGATGTAATTTCCCACCCCCAGAATCAAATTCACCACTTATTTTTCCAAAGGTGGCATAGTTACAATGGGTGAGCCTATTTAATTGGAACTGGAAATAATGGCGATTCATCTTGTTGCGTTTTGTTTCTAAGCCAAGTTGGGCAATAGAGGCTGCCCAATGCCCAAAGGCATATTCGAGCAGAGGCAGGAAGTCTTGAAAATGATTGCCACAAGACCTTTGAGTGTAAGCTGTACAAAGCATTGTTCAGTCACTTCACAAAATGCTACCTGGCTGTGTGAAGTTCCTTAAGGCACTGAGGTCTGGGTAGCAGTTTTGTAAGTATAACATCCTCACTCCATGGTGTAAGTATAGCAGCCCTCCCCCCCCCAAAAAAAATGGTGTTGTCCATAGGAATACAGTAATTCCAAACTCAGTGCTAATTTAGCATCTATTTTTATGCCAAACAAAAGCAACACAAGTTCTTGAGTTCTCCTGATCTCTTAGTCAAGCAAAGTATTTGGCTTTCAAAATTCCATATATGTAACTTGGAAGAAAGTCAAGCATCTCTTCCTCCTACTCAAATTTGATAGCACAACAGCCTGATATTGTTCCTGCTGCTCGTGTGGAAGACAGAAGCCTGTGCGGCCTTGGGCAAGAGGCAGAGTCCCAGGGTGGCACTGGAAGGAGGGAATGAGAAACCGCCTCTGAGCACCCAAATCTCCTGAGTCTTAATCCCATTCTTCGTGTACTAAACTATACTGGTTCAAATCTCTGGAGGCATACAAGTACTGTATAAGGAAACCTGCTTCTCAAAGTTGTGAGAATATGATCTATGTCATTAGAGAAGGTGTGCTGGATGCCAAAGACAGGTATGGTTGGACATCTGTGGAGGTGCCGAACAACCAGTATACAGAGAGAGAAGGTGGATGGGTGGATAGGTAGGTAGGTCAGATGGTCAGTTGCCACTGCACAGAAAACCCAGAGATGGTAAACTTTCATTTTTTGAACTGCATATCTATGAATTCCACAGCCAGTTTGGGAGGATTATTCTAAGTAATCGACAGACAGAGTGATCACCCAATATCCTCATTAGTGGAGAAAGAGGAGGAGGAGGTATTAAGGTCTTCTGTTTCTGGGTGTAAGATGTAAAGGGAGGAATGGTGAGATGCAGGAACAAGAGAGCTCTCAAGGTATTCCATGGGATGTGCAATGGGAGGGAACCATAGCAATCATGGCTTCTCCCCCTTGCAGTGTCCCCCCACAGGCCCAGATAATCTTCTCCCATCAGTGATGGTGATAAGAGAACTAGAGAGTCATGGCACTGAAGAGAACAGGTGATCTTCAGGGTGATAAGAGTGAAGGAGCAGCTACTGGAAACATGCCCCCTACTGGACATTGAGCAGGAAATAGGAAGTGTAGCATTTTTAGTTGACAGAGCTTCCCCAACCAACATGGCCGTTGAACACACTAGCTGGTTTAGGCTGGGAGCTGTAGTCTCAGAACAAAACAAAACAACATACAACTGAACGCTTCCCATTCCTGACCTAGAGTAGAAGGTTTTCAGCTATGTAAGCAGCTGCTGCTTCTCTCCTTTTTCCCCATAGGAAATATGTGCCTGCAAGCACGTATGAGTGTGCCCGAAGGGGCCACGAAGGTGGTGGTGGGCTATCTTCAAGTCTCTTGGGAAGATCCTGAAGAAATTCCAAAGTGATGGAGGTATTGTCTCAGAAGAGGCATTCCTTCATGTGACAGAGAAGGGAAAGCCTCTTCAAAGGGGATCCTTTCCTCCTCCACTTCTCAGAAGCCCCTACATTAAAATCCTTTAAAAAAAAACAACACTCAGTTACTTGGAAGCACCTTTGAATTTTCCAAAGGATGTTTAATGAATTACTCAAACTAATTGACTACATGCACCACTCTTATCTAAGCAGCCCAGGCCCCTTCCCTTTTCAGCAAACAAACTAAATGGGTACTGTTATTCACAGTACTGAAAAATATCTTTATATAAGTATCCATACTAATGCTAGGAACAGAGACCTGCCTATTTGTCCTTAAATGGGCAGTGCCACTTCCGGAATGGCACAGCCACAGCTCATAGTAGCCTTTCCCCCTCCCGGGCTTGGGAAGGTGTAACCCTTGAGATGTTGTTTGATCTCAACTCCTTGCCCAGCAGGGACCTGGGTGGGAGAGAGTTGCAATTAAACAACCTCTCAAGAACCACACGTGTCCCAGCCCAGTTCTTGTTACATTGTCCACTTCTGGCAGTACAACGTTATTTATGAACTGTGCTTTCATGAGTCCATTTCAGTATGATTTTCCTTGTAGATATAAAGGTCCCAAGCAAGGCCTCTCCCATGCTCGGTGAGAACAAAATGCAGCAACTGTTCCCTGGGACGTTGGCAATCTTGAGGTATAACACCAGCCTGTCAGAATGTGGTTCCCCATTGGTTTGAAATGCAACCTGCATTGTTATTTAGTATCATAAGGATGGTGGTAGGGTAGAGCAGCTGGCAAGGGCCTGCATCTGGCAGGGCAGCCAATGAAGATGTCTTTGGGAACTGGATAAAACTTTCAAAGAAAAGTAAAGCATAGACTTTTCCTCCTTATTCTTAACCAAACCTGCTTCCATTGAGGCCAGCCATTATATGAGGAATCCTTTAGTCATATTGCTCGGGCTGTATTCCTACCATGAAAAGAACGAATCACTTTTTTTTTTTTTGGATTTGGGCCCTTCCTGCCATTCTGTGCATAAAAGGGTTGGGATTAAAAACTGCCGGGTGTGATTTGCACATGTTCTCTTTCATCAGGTCAGATCTTGCTGTGAATATTCACTAACTGGAATTTGTCCAAACCAGTCTACTGTATGTAGACAAATGGGTGAAAATGCTTTTCAAAATTGTGCAGTTGCCAACCTATGTGCATTTCCCCACTTTTTCTTTCTTATTTTTTTTTGAGGGGGTGGGCTTATCAGAGATTGATGAACAAGCAGATCAGTGATGAAAGGCAAATATTTTTCTGAAAGATCAACGTAGTCTGCCACTGGCAAACTTTTCCAACAGTGTGGAGTCATGCTAGAGCTTTGGATGTGTTCACTCAATGTAGGTGATAGCAGGGCCCAGTGAACCTGGACATGACATAGAGGAATTGTGAAAGACGTGTGGGTCTCTGGATGATGTTGGACTGCAGCTCCTGTCCACCTATTCTGGCACAGCCTATGGCGAAGAGCAATAGGATTTATCATTGGCCAGAATCCAGAGAGCCATGTGTTCTCCACTACTGCTCTGGAAGAGGGTCCCCAAATCTTCTATGATTTCATGGCAGGAAAGTTCATATGGGACGTGGGACTCCCCTTCAGGTGAAAATCCACTAACTAGGGAATTCATTGCTTTGGAATGGGCATTGGGATCAACAGTTTTCCAGAAAAGATAATACACATCAGCTGAGAATAGGTCATCTAGCACTTTCCAGCTTTGATAATCGCAAGAATGACTGGCAGAGGGACAGGAAACACGTGGCCCTCTGGATGTTTTAAGGTGGTAACTCCCATCAGCTGTAGCCAGGATGGCCACTGGTGATAATGCTTGTAGTCCAAGCAGTATCAGGAGGGCTGCACTTCCCCCATCATTGAACTAGAGGTTGGATGCTCTGATGTCTTGCTTATGAATTTTCACATAACCTTTGCCTGCCCACTCTTGAGAGGCAAATCCTTAGCTGGGTAATAAATTTACTCCACTGTGGCCATTTCCATGTTCTTCACATGCAATGTACAGCCAGATATTCGGCTTGCTTTGAATAAGTATGCTCTTTTGTACTTGCTTGGTATCTGTATTCGGTCCCACCAAGAGCACATGGTCATGTCTTTGGAGAGCTCTTGCTTCATATCCTTCTATTTTAATTTCTGTCTCCTTCCCCTGGGGGTCTTTCACCCTTCATCTTAATTGCCTCCTGTTTTGATGTCCTGCCTGAGGTTTCCAGCCCATTGAAATAGGCTTGTTAATATTATTTAGGCTCTAAAATTTAGAGACAGGAGATTTTCAACTAAACACATAATATCCTTTAGACTTCCTGCAGATCCCCTCCCCCAACCTATGCTACTTTTATTTATTCATGAAACTTTTCTCCCACTTATTCTCTAGAGCAGCCTTTTCCAACCTCTCCCAAAGAGATGTTCTTGGACTAAAACTCCAAGAAGCCTTCACCACTAGTTATGCCAGCTAGGATTTCTGAGAGTTGTAGTCCACGAACATCTGGGGGGGTGTCCCAAGGTTGAGAACCACTGCTGTAGAAGTATTAGAAGAAAGAGGCCTTTTATCTTTGACTTGACCAGATGCAGAATTTAGGGGCAACTCTTGCTAATCATTTAATCTTTCCCCCTCAAACATTCATGAACATCATCAAAAGTGGAAACAGCTGTGATTAGTTTGCAATTCAGGCAATGTTTAGTCAATTTTATACAAATTATTTATCATGGTACCACAACTTGTCCACAGTTGAGGGACACTTTGCTAGGGGCCAACCTGCAGAGTGAAGGGTTGGATATCCTTCTGCCCTTCATCTTTCGCCAGATTTCTCTTGGCAGATTACCCTAGTAATCTGTTGAGATTCTATAGAGAAATGAGGGAAATGATTATAATGTGCAAAGTAGGATTCATAGTACTTCTAATCTGTTGAGAGATCTACCAATCCCCAAGCATTGCCTTGTGTGTATAGGTCTCCTGTGACTGGGCAGTCAGAAAATCAGCTTTACATGTTAGCCAAAATCATTTGCTCTCAGTCATATACGATGAAGGTGTTGCAATCTGTCAAAGCTCAATCTCACCTCTTACTATTCTGTATCAATAAAGACACGGAACAAGCAACAACCAAACACCAGCATGTAACTTCCCATTGCCTTCTCTAGCTTATACTACAACCTTGTCCCAACACACACACACATTTTAAACTGGTTTTACCATGAAATGTAAGGCCATGGTTTTGCACTGGACTTGGGCTTGGCCCTATTGCTTAAGAACCATGCCTGCTAGACCTGACATTTGCGTCTTGTAGGACCCATTGCCTTCAACCCCCTTCACCAGCAAAGTCACCAGAACCCAGCAGCTTTATAACAGGGGTGGGGAGTTGTCCTGTATAAAGACTTCCCATGCGTTCTAACTCAAACCGGCTGTCTAGAGCAGGACAGCTGTGAAGGGCAACGCTGCAACCATCTTCCAAGACCTCTCGCCCCCCCATCTCCTCAGGCAGGGGTGACCCGGCGCCGGAAACAGCTGCAGGTGATGCATTTGAGGAAGCTCATGCTGAGGTGGAAAAGGCCCGTGAAGCGGAAAAGCAGGTTGTAGTAGGTGCCTACAGACAGGTTCCCCGAGGTGTCAGCATACTTCAGGGCCACCAGTGGGGTGTACAGGGTGTTTGTCTGCGTCCGGAAGGGTGGGCGTTCCTTAGCGATGACATTCACGACAGCCTGGAGAGAAGGCAAAGCAGAAAGAGGTTGGCATTTTGATCTGAACTCCCTTCTGTGCATTTTGGTATTCCTGTCATGGGTTCAGCCCATAGTTATTAATATAAAATAATTTTTAAAAGAGTCCTCCAGCATCTTATAGGCTAACAGGTTTCTTATATTGTGAGCTTTGATAGAGGATAGGCAGCACTGTCCGAGATTCATTTGTGAGTCTGTTAATGGCGCCACCAGTTTTCTGTTGCTGTTTTTTGTTTCTAAATGGCTACACCTTCCAGAGTTGTTCTTAAAGTGGGATAAAATCACAGGGGAGTCGGTTGCTGTGTTTCATAAGCCCTTATAGCAAGGGAAGTGTTTTATCATAGTTCACCTTAAGAACAATGAGCCGCAGAGTGCTACTGACCTTTGTCTCCAGGTCACAAAGGATGGAGAAGTATTTCCTTGCCCATTGTATTGAAGGAATTAACTAGGTGTACCAGGTTACTGAATTGAGATTATGGCTATGAATTACAATTAACTGTAATTTAGGATAATCATGGTATGGTAAAAAGAAAAAAATAGCATATACTGTTCTAAGCAATTCAATCCAAATAAGATGGGGGAAAATCTAGACCCGAGTATAGAAGCTCATATAGTTGGTTTCCATAGGTAGAAAATATGGAGGTGGCCGACATGGAGGTAGTCTCTAAAAGTAAGCCATCCATTGCAACAAAGAATAAGAAATCTGTTTCCTTGAAGAAAGGAGATAGTACCTCAAAGAGAAAATAAACAATTGTGATTGCCTACAAAAGTCAAGGGTCAACAAGATACCCAAGCTCACTTGACTGCTTTTCAGTCAATCACCACACACCAGATTCTCCTAAATGCAATGTTGCTGCTCTTTTCTAATGTGTGCAATCATAATGCTGGATTAGACCTGATATTATAATGGTGCTTCTTCTCGTAGAGTTCATATTTTGTAGTAGAAAATCCAAGTTCTGAATCCTAGCACCTCTAGGAAGAAAGTTACAGGATTTGGAGCAACTTCCTTTGGCTAAGATCTCATATCCTTTGCCAGTTACAAAATATACAGAGCAAGACACATCAATGAATTGGATTCCATACCGGCCAGATTCCTCTATCGGAAGAGCACACAGGCTGGAACTATAAAAAAAAAACCTGGATGAAGTCCACACTAGGCCTGTGGGTTACTTCCATTTGATTCAGCGCTCAGATACTTAGGAGAACTTTACTGTATTTTTCCCCCAGGCTGTTCCTAGCCCTCTTGTTTCATACAGAGAAGAAGATATTTTGGCTACTTCCAGGTGGGGAATGTTTGGTTCTCCATTGACTGGAGTAAAATATTCACCATCTAATAACATTGGTTATACTGCCTAGGGCTGATGGGAATTGTAGTCCAACAGCTCCTGGAGGACCATTTGTTCCCTACCCCTTGTGATATGGTAGAGTGGAATGACAAATGCAGATGGAATTGGGGCATCTGCCATGTCATGGATAAACATTTGCTCTTGGAGACAAGAAGATACAGTAGGACTGCCCTATCCACAGGATCAGTACCAATGGTTTCACATACAGTGGACCCTTGACTTACAGACGGCTCGACTTACAGACTTTTCGAGTTATAGACTTCTCTGGCTGCAAAATTTAAGTTCGACTTGCAGCCGGAGAATCGACCTACAGACCAGAAAAAAACCCAAAATGGAACAAAAATGGAACAAAAACGGCCGGTTACGGGATTAATCGGTTTTCAATGCATTGTAGGTCAATGGAGCCTTGACCTACAGACTTTTCGACCTGCAGCCACCGTTCAAATATGGATTAATTCCGTAAGTAGAGGGTCCATTGTATCTGCTGCCTGAAAATATAAATATGCCCCCCATGGACATTTCCAAGGTTTACTACCAGACCTGGCCACTAGAGGGAACCAGAGACAATGCTATGCATGCACAGTACTGTAAAGTATAGTGTTTCTATTCCGGTGCACTTTGGCATCCACAATAAGGCATGGGGGGGGGGGGGTGACTTTACCCCTGCAGATACTGTGCTCCTACTGTATTTAATAGTGAGGAGGAGATGAGCCATGGGTGCCACTTGTGTAACTGGTGGGAAGGCAGGATATAAATCTAACCAATCAATAAATGAATGAAGAAATAATGAAGCCCACAAAGCAGTTGTATTGAACGGAGGTCTACAGTGTAGAAAAATGTGGCCTCTAAAGGCTCCCTTCAGTTTCCTGGGAGACTGCCCCTACCTTAGCCACAGATTCAGGAGTCTGGCCCATGGTAGTGAATATTTCATGGGAAGCTGGTAGGTAGATCTCCTTGAAGTAGTGCACGGTGGTAGGGTCTGCTCCAGGGAACTCTGAGCGTGCCACCTCCTCCATCAGCTTCATCTCAAACTCCGTGTTCACTGGGCCCGGCTCCACCAGAGAGACACTGGTTGTTGAGACAGAACAGTCAGGGTTTCAGTCTGGGATCATCACCATACCAGACAACAGGAGTCTAAAGGAATTGACTATAGCATTGTTTTTGCTAACACTTCAGGCAATTCCCCTCCACCCCCACACCTTCTGGGTTAAGCCTAGAGGCACACTTCAGTCTCACATCTCCGAAGAGTGATTCTGAACACATGAGAAGTATGATAAACCAGTGAGAATTAAAACCACAAAGATCTAGAACACCACTGGTTCTTCACCCCTGAATTAAGGGCTCGGTTAATGGGACTGAACTCTGCTATTGAGATGGATGTCACTTAAAAAGGATGTAAAAGCCAGCTTTAGCTGATGAGTGGCCTGAATATATACATTTCTGGTTGGAGAAAAGAACAGTCTTGCATGTGACCTCACACAGGGTTTCTGTGAGGGGGCTTCACAGCCTAAAATTGCTATGCCTTCCCACTAATCAATCAGCAAGTTATTTTCCCCACCACTAGTTTGCCTCTTCTCCTTCCTGTTTGTTGGCTTCACTTCTGGTTAGTTTTTTGCTTTCTTCTTTTCCTTTCTGACATTTTGACCACAGCAGACATGCTCTTTCTCTGTTCTTGACCTCTCACCATGTTGCCAGCATGGGGAATTTCGGTCTCCAAACATGGTTGAGACTGTCATTCTTTTATTCTTCTGATTAAAACTGAATTTCCACAACTGTAAGTAAAGGCATTTTTCTCTTTTTTTTCTAGAGTGATTTTTACATACAAAGGGCTAGTCATTTTGAGAATGGGTGGAAGCTGGGACTTTTAGCTATTTTCCTTCACATTTCCCCTCTGCTGTTGCTGTTTTTTGTATTTCATGCTCTGCTGACTAAAAGGCAGGGATGTGGTGGCACTGCGGGTTAAACCACAGAAGCTTCTGTGCTGCAAGGTCAGAAGACCAGCAGTCATAAGATCGAATCCACATGACGGAGCTTCCGTCGCTTGTCCCAGCTCCTGCCAACCTAGCAGTTTGAAAGTATGTAAAAATGCGAATAGATAAATAGGTACCACCACAGTGGGAAGGTAATGGTGTTCCATGTCTAGTTCCACTGGCCACGTGACCACGGAAACTGTCTATGGACAAATGCTGGCTCTATGGCTTGGAAACGGGGATGATCACCACCCCCTAGAGTCAGACGCAACTGGACTAAATGTCAAGAGGAACCTTTACCTTTACCTAACTAAAAGGGATTAACCAAAATTCCCTTCAACAGTTTCCCTGGGACAATGATGTCTGCCCTAGGTCAATAAAGAGGGAATTCTGGGTGTTTTAGCATGCGGACACACAATCTCTCTCTCTCAGCTAACATATAAAGCTGACAGCCTTGACTTCACATGGAAATTCTTTCTATCTTCCTTGGGTCAGGTGGGTGAAATCTAGCTTTTTTTTTTTTTTTTTTTTTTTTTTATTTTTTTTGTATGTTTTTTTTACATA